GTACGACGACATCGACACACCATTGCTATACGTACGCATTCAGATCGGAGAGGCGACCTGCAATGCCTTGATCGATTGCGGAGCATCTCGCAACTACATCAACCAGGACTTCATGGTACGCGCCGGCCTTGGCCCACGTGTCCGGAGGAAGTCCTAGCCTACGCAAGTCACGTTGGCAGACGATCATACTCACAAGTCAAATGACCGGTGCATTGACGCCGTCCCCGTGTACTTTGCCCCTCATGCAAGTGAGGCGGTGTCCTTTGACATTCTGGACACCAAATTCGACATGATCTTGGGCATGTCATGGCTGCGAAGCTAGGATCACCCGGTGAACTTCTTCAACCGCACCGTTCACGTTCGTGAYCGGAACGGAGTATTAGTTCCATGCACGGTGCCTCTTCCTCATCCTTCGATCAGTTGCCACGTGGTATCCGCCGCAAGCATGCGAGCTTCCATCATCAGAGACGACATCGAGGAGATGGGGGTGTGTTTTCTCCACGCCCTCCCGCCCCATGACGCTTCATCGATGGACTCACCTTCGGATCCACGCATCACCGAACTCCTCGACGCCTACAGCGACTTGTTCGAAGACCCGCACGGAGTAGTACCGGATCGACCCATCCGCCACGAGATCATCCTCGAGGACGGGGCCGTACCTCCGCGCGGTTGCAGCTACCGAATGAGCGAGGAAGAGTTAAGTGTGCTTCGGGCACAACTCGACGACTTTCTGGAAAAAGGTTGGATTCGGCCTACCTCATCGCCATACGGTGCTCCTGTTCTCTTCGTCCGGAAGAAGAACAAGGACTTGCGGTTGTGCATCGATTATCGCAAGCTCAACACGCAGACGATCAGGAACACCGGCCCTCTCCCACGCATCGATGATCTTCTCAAGCGATTGGGCAGCTCCCAGTCTTTCTCTAAGCTGGATCTCAAGTCAGGGTACCACCAACTCGAGATTCGCAAGGAGGATCGCTAGAAGACCGCGTTCAAGACACGGTATGGGCATTTCGAATGGTTGGTTATGCCATTTGGCCTTATGAATGCCCCGACCACTTTCCAAGCGGCTATGACAACGGAGTTTCGACACATGCTGTATCGATACGTACTTATCTATCTTGACGACATCCTGGTGTACAGCCGGAGTTTGGAGGAGCATGTGGAACACCTGCGCACCGTTTTGGAGCGGCTACGACAGGCCAAGTACAAAGCCACCCGCGAGAAGTGTGAATTCGCGCGGCAGGAGCTGGAGTACTTGGGCCATTATGTGACGCCGCAAGGCATCCGTCCGCTCGCGGACAAGATCGAAGCCCTACGAGTATGGCCCGAGCCCACCAACACCACGGACGTTCGTTCATTCATGGGATTGGCGGGCTACTATCAGCGATTCATCACCGGATACTCCAGGATCGCTGCACCTATGACGAGGTTACAGTCGCCAAAGGTGCCGTTCGTATTCGATGACGACGCACACCGGTCATTCCAAGCACTTAAGACGGTCATGCTCATGGCACCCGTCCTCAGCATCTATGACCCCACCTTGCCGACGAGAGTGACTACGGACGCTTCCGGCTATGGCATTGGGGCAGTCTTGGAACAGCAAGACGGCGACGAATGGCACCCTGTGGAGTATTTCAGCCACAAAGTGCCTCCCATCAACTCGCTTGATGATGCAAGGAAGAAGGAGCTACTCGCGTTCGTCATGGCTCTCAAGCGATGGCGGCACTTCCTCCTTGGGCGTCGTAGGTTCACATGGGTTACGGACAACAATCCATTGACCTACTACAAGACGCAAGATACGGTGAGCAGCACAATTGGACGATGGATGTACTTCATCGTCCAGTTTGACTTCACATCGAAACATCTACCCCGCCTCTAAAATCGTGCAGCAGATGCACTCTCACGAAGACCAGATCTTTGCGCTATGACACATCATGCCTTCGCATTCGACGAGGAGCTTTAGCGACACTTCATCCGGGCATATGAGTCTGATCCGGACTTCGGCACGCTCTATGCACAGCTATCTTCGGATCACCCGCCGGCCAGCCGTTACCGCATTGCCGACGGGTACTTGCTCCTCCACTCGAGAGGCAAGGACTTACTATGTGTCCCACGCGACCGTCGTCTTCGGACTCGCCTCCTCGGCGAGTATCATGATTCACGACTCGCTGGCCATTTCGGAGTCAACCGCACTATTGCACGGCTTCGACAGCGATTCCGATGGCCCGACCTCATTACCGATG